GAGTTAAATGATCAAACTGAACATTACATTATTTTAAAAAGAACTAAGTTCTTCAAAGAGGGAATTCATGGAAAAACCATACCAAAATCACTTTGTCCAAACTTAAAAGTTTCAAACTGATACAAATAAAGAACATAGTTTCACATTTGCTTGACAGCCAAAAAAAAACAAAGTTCTTATATTTCAAGCCAAGTAACCGTAATACACTGATCTACTGTGTTTGCACTGGAGACTGTGGTATTTAATTTCCAGGTTTATGGGACAAAATGGGCATAGTGTCTCACATAGCATGACACATAAGTTTTAAGATACAAAATTTACATTGCTGCATGCAAAATTGCTATTGCTGAACTAAAAAATTATTCCACTTAGCGAGTGCCATGATAGAGGCTAAAGAGACCTGGTTTCCTATGGAATTAAATTTTGTGATGGCAGACTACTTAAGTGTTTGCAGCACTGACCACCATACACCCTAATTCTAACATTAGTTAGCAAGTGTAAAAATACATCGGGGGAGCTCTGTGTTAGGGTGTTTGAAAGCTTCTCTCTTTGAGTGGCAAAAGCAACAGGACAGTACACTTTCCTTTATTTCAAGAGGAAGGGTGAGGGAGGGAGAGTATCAATGATGAGAGAGAATCAGTGACTGGCCTCCTCCTGCACACCTCCCACTGGGGATGGAGCCCACAACCCAGGCATGTGCCCTGACCAGGAAACAAACCATGACCTCCTGGTTCATAGGTTGACAATCACTGAACCACACCGGCCAGCCAATACACTTTCTTTTTGTCAATATAGTTAAGCACTGCTCTTTCTACATTTCTACCCTAATGTTCAAGTCACAACTACGAGGAATTCTCCATCTGGCAAACTCAACTATATTTCAAGTAAAGATTGCTTTCTGGCCATAAGGCTCTTCTACCAGCTACAGTCATTTAGATCAAGCCAATTTTCCCCGGATTACAAAACTTCGGAGAATGACAGCTACTAACAGGAACACTCTATTAGCATTTATTAGTAGACAAAGTAATCTTCACTCTTCTAACAATGACGCTAATTTAACCTACCCCAGTACCAAAGGAAACTAAAAGAACCTAAAAATGAGGGTACAACATAGCAATTTAATTCATATTTAAAATTTTTATTATGAAGAACAATTGGTATAACCTTCTTATCGTCTAGGCATCTAAAAAACACATGCAATAAAGTTATTTTTTGCCGTAGCCCATTTGGTTCAGTGGTTGGAGCAATGACCCATGGACTGACTGAAGGGTCTCGGGTTTGACGATCCTTGGATCCCAGCCCTGGATGGGGCACATGAGGGAGGCAACCAGCTGATGTTTCTCTGTCTCTCCCTTCCATTCTCTCTTAAAAAAAAAAAAAAATCAATGGAAAAAATATCCTCAGGTGAGGATTAACAACAGAAAATTATTAAAACAAAACAAAACATACAACACACCTATATATGCATTTGTCTTCCCGTAACATGAGAAGTGAGTCTCATTTACATGTGCATTTGCCTGAATTCATCTATATGCACTGGGAGAAAAAAAGAGAGAGCTTAAATTATTGGTTCCCTGAGCTGATCCTCAGTCCCCTAGTTCATGCGTGCCACTCAGTGTATAAACACTTCCCTCACTGTGTATGAGTCTACTATTAGTTGTATCTGTTACACATTGTGACTCCTAAATGTACACCAACTACTTCATCTGGGGCTCACAGGGAGAAAAGACAGCATCTGTTCCAAAGCTGGAGGAAACCTGGCCATGCTGGAATTTTGCTGCGCTGGTATGCCTACATCCATCCTAATGCTCCCCTAGATTTTCGAGGGTAGCTTTGATCATTTTGCATCTGTGCCCTAACCCACACTAAGTCATACCTCCCCTCCCCCAGGCTTTATATAACTCCTCTCAAGATCAAATTTTTTTTAAAAAGAAAGAAGTAAAGGCTTTGCATTACACAACCACACATGAGGTCTACTAACTCATTCAGTTGTATTTTTGAAGTCAGTTTTTACAGGGGACCTATTACGTGGAAGGCACAGTGCTAGGCACTAACCTGGCGCTCGACTATTAGTAAGTGAAGAACTCGCATTCAGTAAGAAAGAAGGTTGGCACATGAGCAATTTAGAAAAGCAGACTCAGAGTAAATGCTGTAAGAAAATAGAAGCTTAGTTCAGAAAAGGGAGATTAGAAAAAGCATGAGGGAAGCTTAATTTTGATAGTAGCTGTGACACTGCAGTGAAAAGTGGTGGAAATTTGAGGCATACAAAGAAAAATAATCTGTAACTTGAGATTGCCAGAAATCACAAATTTCACATTCCAAAATGAAAATGAAAGGAAGGGTGCTTTCATTTCCAGAAATAGTGAGGTAATTGACACCAATCCTGTACTTCTATGATAAAAAATAAATTAAATAGCGTTAGCCGGTTTGGCTCAGTGGATAGAGCCTGTGGCCAGAAGCGTCCTGGGTTCAATTCCAGGCAAGGGCACATGCCCAGGTTGCAGGCTCCCATCCCCAGTATGGGATGTGCAGGAGGCAGCCATTCAATGATTCTCTCTCATCATTGATGTTTCTATCCTTCCCTCTCCCTTCCTCTCTAAAATCAATTTTAAAATGCTTAAAAAATTAATTAATTTAATTAAATAACTCGAAGAAATTTCTAAAATAATTCTTAAACAGAAAAGCTAACAAGATAGTAAAGAATCTGCCCAAACTCTAGCTGGGTTGGCTCAGGGGATAGAGCATTGGCCTGCAGACTGAAGGGTTCCAGGTACAGTTCTGGTCAAGGGCACATGCCTTGGTTGCAGACTCAGTCCCCAGTAGGGGGCGCGCAGGAGGCAGCGATCAAGGATTCTCTCTCATCATTGATGTTTCTCTCTCTCTCTCCCTTCCTCTCTGAAATCAATAAAAATATATTAAAAAAAGAAAAGAATTTGCCCCAAATCCAAAACCAGAAATAGAGCCATTATCCAAACTTGTTTTCATCCTAAGGGTTTCTCTGACCTTAATGCTGTTGTTTGGGTGCCTTTGTGAAGCAAAAGAAACTAAAGCCCAAATAGGACGTGAAGTCTGATAACCATCTATTTATTTCTCCCTGTTAACCTGGTACGCCAAAGAACTACACCTTCAAAATAAAAGTGAAGTGGGAAGAAAAAGAGCATAAATAATAAGCAACAGAAAGAGACTCAAAGGGAATTCAGATAGTAGATTTAAAACATTCAGATTATAAAACAACTACACTTATCATGTGTAAAGAAACAAAAACCAAGCCTTAAAATTAATAGCAGGGAACAAGAAGCTGTAAAACCGTGGTAGAGCACATTTGAAAAGACCAAATAAAACTTCATGGGGAAAAAAAAATGCAGTAACTGAATTTAAGATTTCAATGGATGAGTTTAATGACACATTAGAAATAGGTTAGAGAATTAACAAAAAAGAAATTATCCAGAATGTAGTATTAAAAAAAATAAAGTGAGAAGAGAACAGAGTAAAAAGGTCTCTGTTAAGTCAGTTAAAAACAATGGGGCAGAAGCAATAGACGGATATAAAATGGCCGAGAATTTGACAGGTCTAATGAAAGACACTAATCCACAAATTCAAGAAGTCTAACACCAAACAAATGCAGAAACCCGAAGATAAAGACTGAACAATCTTTAAAACACCCCACAGTGAAGAGTGAAAAAGAGCGTATTTAAGAATGAAGTGGGATCCAAAGGTGATCCCCAGTGAGCACACTGCCATTGCTTAATTCAGCTGCCACCCAGGTGTAATTCCACTATGGCTGAGCCTATGGCTGCGCCAGGCACTTAAATTACTTTGTTTACCAGATATGTGGTTTTCCATTTCTGAAGCGGCATCTTGACTCTAACCAAACATCAAGATTCTTAGATGGTGAAAGGAAAGACTGCTAACCAGGTAGAAGGTCTTGAGGTAATCTTCCTCTCTAAAAACCACAAAGAAACTGCCCACTGGGGTAAAAGGCACCAAGACTTCAGGTGAGAAAGGTTAATTGGACATCCTCTGCTTGCAGACCCTTAAGAACTGTTAACAGCTTAGCCCAAGCTGCATTTGAAAGACTATAGATGCTGTTTTTATCTCAGCTCAACTCTTGTATCAAAAAGGAGTTAACGCGCACGGACTCCTTTCCAGGATTTCAGAAGCACTGTCCTCCGAACCATTTTATGGGGTCCCTCTGAACACAGCAATACACCCAACAGCTGAAGAAATCAACACGTCTTACCTCGCAGCTGGTACCCAAGAAGTCATTGGGAAATCTGACCACCAGGCCGACACCTGGTTTCCTGCGTCCCACTCCAGACCTACTCAGTCAGACTATCCGGGGATGGGATGGGGTCCGAGAATCTGCATTTTAAAAGGGCCGCAGAAGAACTTGTTTTCTACTAGTTCAAGAACCACTGCTAAGTCCGAACAGGTGTCCTCCTCTAACCCTCGGCCGGACGTTGGCATCCACGTGGGCCACCAACCCTCCAGCAACGTGCTTCAACTCTCGGTGTCAGCTGCTTACGTTTTCTGCAAAAACGAGCACGCTCCAGCGACTGGTACTTGGTATGTAATAAAAATGTGCTTCCCGTCTCACATGTTGTGAAAACACCATTTCCAACCAGGCCTCCCCACATCTCGCGAGGAGCCGGGAGCCGTTCCAAGACCTTAGGAACAGCGCCCGCTCCTCACCTGGAGCCTCGGTGGCCCCACCTCGTAGAGAAGGTGCAGGGAAGCCAGCAAGAAGCCCAAAGTCCCCAATCCTCTGGAAACGGCCAGGTATCCTCCCCGACTCGACCTGGAGGCCACCCCGCGGCCATCCCCTCAGGCTGGGTTCTGCAAACCACTGGCCCCGGCGGCCAAGGACACTGGGCGAGTGCACAGACTGAGAAGAGGCCTGGCCCTAAACCTCAAGTCAGACACAGCCCCCCATCTCCTCGGCGAAGAAGCTGGAGCCCAGGTCTCGCAGCCTGGCCCGGGCCCAGGCCACACTCACCTACCAACGCGCGGGAGGCGGGACACCCTCTCCTCGGTAGCGCTCACCCCCGAACCGCCACCGCCAACGCCAACGCCGCTTACTTTTTAGGGGTTAAAAAAAAAGAAAGACCAGAAAAAGAAAATAGCCTTTGCTTTTGTATTCCTTTTGACCCTTCAGGGCTTCCTGTTCCTCGCCGCCACAACAAAAGTCCACCCTGCTTCCGGCGGCGAAACCCAATCCCGACTCTCTTCCTCCCCGGGAGTCCGATGGCAATCCGGTGCCCGGAAAGCGGGCGGGAGACGCTGGATTGGGCCATTCACCCCTCAGCCAGCGGATTGGCCAGCTCGCGCCTGGGGGGCGGGCCGAGCCGTGAGATCACGTGGTGCCGCCCAGGAAAGATGATTGGTTGTCAGGGAGAGGGATTGCCACCGAGAAAGGGGCGTTTCCTAGGGGACTGAAGGCGGGCCTGGGGCGGTACCGAGCGGGGGTGGGCCCGGCACGTAATGGCAGCGCCGTGGCCCCGCGTCCATCTTTACCGCTCTCTCGGACCTGTCACAAAGGAGTCGCGCCGCCACTGCCTCCCCCTCTCTCGATCGGACCTGGGAGCTGGAGCAAGTCAGTGCCGCAGCCCAGCCGCCGTGCCCCGGAAAGCCCCTGGGGACGCGGAGCGGGGGGGGAAGTCCGAGGGCAGGGGACGTCTCGGGGAAGGAGGAGACAGTCCCCGAGTCTGCGGCGGGGAGACCGGACTGGGGTCGGGGGAGGCTCGGGGAAGGGGCCCCGGAAGGGCGGCGTTTGGCAGAGCCCGGGAAACAGCCCGGAGATTCTCCGCGGAGGCCCGCGCGGAAGGCGCCTGAAGAGGTTCCTGGAAGAGGGTGTTCCCCCTTTAGGGGGATGTTGACCGGAGGAGGTGCTCGGGGGTCGCCCTTCTGAGAAGGCCGCGGCGAAAGGGGCCCAGGTGAGAGGCAGGCTGCTCCCGGGAGGCTCCTGACATTTTAGGAGGGCTCTCGGGGGTGTCCGGGCGGAAGGGGCAGATGGGAGGACGCTCTGGGAGGGTTTCCTTTTGTGGAGTTTGAGGTTTTAGGTGGCCCGGGTGCGAAGCAGACATTCCCCCGGGAGCCATAAAAATGCCGCGGGGTGGAGAGATGCCTCGGAGAGAGAGAGGGGGGCTAGGAGTCTGGAGCCCGAGCTAGCGGATTCCCGGAGGCCCGACGTGGAAAGCGGGCAAGGGCCTCGGGGAGAGGGGCTCGCTGGGCGGCTCTGGGAAGGAGAGACCCCGATCCGCGGGAAAGCCTCGGGGAGGAAC